CGCGTCGAAACCTTATTCATATTTTTTCTAGTTTTTATTGTTTATAGGCAGCCACTGTACATGGCAATAGCATGGCCAGTCAGAAATATTTAGTGTGAATATTCAACTACACTCATGCTGTGTAGATATATGAACAAACGACAACCTTGCCGCTTAGCTATGTCACTGAATATAATGGTTGGTTAATATTATATAGCCGATTTTGACAAACTCGAACCGATTTCGCTGTCTGCAATTCTGCTATAGCATGCAATTTATCTGGTTGGTTTCGCTGTCTGAAATTCAGCTAGTAGCCTACCTAAAATATATCTCAAAATATATTTTGACAAGCTCAAACCGACTTCGGTGTCTGAAATTCAGGTACACCTATCTTTTGGTGGTATTTATATATGATTATTTTGGCAAATTCAAACCGTTTTTGGTGTCTGACATTCAGACACCGAATTTATCTCAGTTTGCATGGTTGGTATTTATATATGATTTTGACAAACTCAAACCGTTTTCGGTGTCTAAAATTCAGACACCGAATTTATGTAAGTCTGCATGGTTGGAATTTATATATGATTTTGACAAACTCAAACCGTTTTTGGTGTCTGAAATTCAGACACCGAATTTAACTCAGTCTGCATAGTTGGTATTTATATATGATTTTGACAAACTTAAACCGTTTTCGGTGTCTGAAATTCAGACACCCAAATTTATCTCAGTCTGCCTGGTTGGTATTTATATATGATTTTGACAAACTCAAACCGTTTTCGGTGTCTGAAATTCAGACACCCAAATTTATCTCAGTCTGCATGGTTGGTATTTATATATGATTTTGACAAACTCAAACCGTTTTCGGTGTCTGAAATTCAGACACCCAAATTTATCTCAGTCTGCATGGTTGGTATTTATATATGAGTTTGACAAACTCAAACCGTTTTCGGTGTCTGAAATTCAGACACCCAAATTTATCTCAGTCTGCATGGTTGGTATTTATATATGATTTTGACAAACTAAAACCGTTTTCGGTGTCTGAAATTCAGACACCGAATTATATTTATATCTGACAATGGTTGGTCTATTTATATATATGAGTGATAATCTGAATCCAGTTTAAGTCATGTAAGCATATGAATACTGCAAATTTTCAATTTAGCATTAATAATTTCAGAATGGTGTCTCGTTTAGACAAAAATGTTGTTTTTTTGCATAGTCTCTGCCAAAAAATAGTATTTCGATTTGCTAAAATGAAATCTTCGCTCTTTTTGTTATTTTTTTTAATTTTTGCAGAAAAAAAATAGTTTGGAATTATTGAAAATAGTTTGGAACGCGTTTTCAATAATTTGCAGCTGTTCAGTTTTTAGTTTAAAACCCAAATTAACAGTACTCTTTCAAAAATATACGCTTTTATTGAAGGGTATAAAAATTGCGCCGCAGATGGTTCTATAATTTATGCGTATTTTGGCGTATATTATTATTTTAGGATTTTTGCGTCCTCTCACGGCCGCGGTATAGCAAATTTCCTTGAGATTGTTGCAGGCTCATTATTCAATGATGCACCCTGGTGAACGAACATTTTGAAAAATTATTTAGCAAAATTATTTTTGAATTTAGCAGGACTTGCCAAATTAAGATTCATGGATTTACAGTCGAATGGGATTTAATTGCTGCGACAGGCAGATCCCTATTCTTGATTTGTTTCCTGTTTATACTCGCCCCAGGCTTTTTACGTCAGGCCTTAGACGTTTTTGGCCGTCAGAAACGTTTTCAAATTTACAAAATCTTGCAAAAATACAACTTGAAAGAAATGTTTGTTATTTCGCGGTCGTCAATGCAGTCGTTATAATGCAAATTTCAAATTTGACCAATCAGTGTTCACTATTCACGACAGTCCGCTACATATTTTGAGATCAGTGAAGATGACCACCCATGAACGGTGAGCCATGCGCCCACGATATTTGATGAACTTTAGACTTCGCTAGTGCGTCCTTTCCCCGGGTGTAAATAGCCGGGCGTAATTAGTAACCGGCTCGGGGTTTAGCAAATCCGATAGAACTGCTGGTGTTTCTTATGTTGCTATTAGCAGAGTAAAATCACTTGCATCTTCCTTGTCATTGAACCAATGACGCATAAACGATTGACAAGGTTGAAATAATCAAATAACTTACAAAATAGGCTTGAAGAAGACAACAGGCCAGCTACAATCCTGGAAAAAACTAATGAAACATCAAGTATGATTAACTCAATTAATTTAATCTTATTGTTCGCCGTTTCCCCTTACAATTTTGCTTAAGATGAGTAAGAAACCTACACATACTGCTCTCTGTCATCGATGAACGATGGAGTCCTCTACAGCCAACATTGTTCATGGGAGGAGGGAGGTTTGTCTATTTTATTGATTTTTTATAGGTGTTTCATTAAATTTTTGCCAAGATTGTCTGATTTTGCAAATTTACGAAATGCCTAAAAACGTATTTTACACCAAAATTGTGTTGAATTTCCAGTTTATAGTTGCATGATTAATATAGCAATAGTCAATATTATTATTTGGCTTTGCAGAATCCAGGATTGTGATTGGTTGACGTGCGGTCCGTAAAATGCGTATCCGGACAGTGGTCCGTATTTCCCCGTATCCGGACCGGTTTCCCGTATGTCAATTTGACAGGCTCGAATTTGAAACGTTTTTACACGTTTATAAGGTCGTTATGTGAAGAAAAAGTTCCTTGGATCATTTTTAAGAATAAGAAGTATTGGAAATATTAATAAGTACGTGTACCAAGACAAATTTCATCGAAAAAGCTAAGAAAACAAGGCATTTGAACTCTTACTGTCAACCGTAAGTTTTGGCGGGAAAAGTTTTTGATTTGTTTACTTGTTTCAAAAAATAAATAAAGATTAATTTAACGTCTTTAATTGTTAATACCATATTCTAAAGAAATATCATATAAACTGGAACTATAAGCATTTTTAAAGCGGTGGGGGTTACCGAAAAAGTAGTTCTATAAAAGCGATTGTTAAACATGCTTTTCCGTAAACAATATTCGGTGACAAAACCAAATCTATTAAAGACTAAACGAAGAAAACTAGCAAATAAAACATAGCTCAAAAATACCTTTATAGCGCTCAAACAAATATATGAAAAGCAGAAAATGTGTTTAAGAGGCTGTCTCCGTAAAAACCTCCAGGTCAATATGGTGCTCAAAAATAGATTTCTCTTATACAGACCTCTAGTATTTTGAAGATCTATCCTTGGGAACAACTAAAATCAATGTCATTTTACTCAAATTTCCTTTAAATTATTTTTGGGGGCGATTGATGTTCGATCGACTGGTAACCAACTTGATACTCTGAATGAAGGCCAAATATCGACATATTTTCAGCGCTATTTTTTAAATCAAATTCATACCTAAATTTCAAAATTTTTGCTCAGAAATATAGACATATCCTTCTATTTTCGCGGGTGATACGACTTAGATCATTATTCTTTGGTATAAAATAGAAAACAGCGCAGTTATTGACCCTCCTGAACGGATAAAGGATATCGTCTCAAAATATGTCAATTTCGAAAGCTTATTTCAAAATCGTGGCACTTGATTGGCACATGACTTTAACTTTTCTATAAACTACTAACATTAGTCAACACAAATCGCAAATAATATCTTTCTGATCTTCCACTTGACGAAAATGACAAGCGCGCAAACTTTGTAAAATTTGAAAATGTGTCGAAATCGAGCATACTTTATCGGTAAACATAATTATTGATATTAACAGATAAAATCACCTTACACAACACTGAATGAAGCTTCATTATGTAAATATATGTCTTTCATCATTATTCTTTGGTTTGGCGCTTGAATCAAATTGTTTGAGTACAGTTTGGCTTCACGGATAGAGTCATTCAATGCCAGTGTGTCCAGTGTCTTCTGCGCGTCTCAACGCCACGAGTCCTGATTGTGACATACTATACAATCTTCGCTCTGTTCGCTTTGTTTACCTCTTTAACAAATACCTTTACCTGTTTAACAAATAACAATGTTCAATGAAATTGGAAAACTCAGAATTAGCCATACTACAGACAGAATTTTCATCGTTTTTAAACTGTTTTATAAAAGTTTCCGTTAGAATGTACGAATTAAATCTCGGGGAAAACCCCGGGCCCTGGCCGAAAGAAATCAGAAATGTATACTCGCTGTGATGTCAAATGTCAATATTTCGTTAGTTTCGCTCAGTATAGTTTTCTAGCAACTGAATTGTCTCTAGGTTTAGAAACAATTATCAATGAAACTAGAATTCAAATAAGTCACGGTTCTGTATAAAAAATCAACTTTTTCAGGCCGACCCTGGGTCACTTTGCTCAAGGCTATGCTTCAAGAATTTATATTATTTCTTATTGTATAAAAATATGCGAATATTTTGATATAATACAAAACAATTCAGCGCAAACAGCTGTAACCCATTTGAACGTCTCAGTTATTTAATCAATGTTATTCCTTTTTTCAGTAACAATTAGAAAGGTTCTGAAAATTAGAATTAATTTATATTCTTTTCTCCGACAAGCTTTAAAGCTAGATTACAGTCGCTTCTGCGCATGTGTCAAAAATGTAAACAAATGTGAGCACACTTGTTTTGATTTTGTGTGCTCTCCAGTCCTTATTCGGATATGCGCGCCCAAAATGGCCGACTCGTAAGAGTTATATAATAGAGCCGTCCACTTCAAAGGCAAATTCTTCTAATGCTGGTCGCCAAAACCAACCAGGAAATCGAAAAGAACATTTCGCGAAAAGGTATGCAACGAAAATGTACTTTAATGATACTATTGGTCGGTGAAATCATTTCAAAACTGAAGCTGGAATTAAAAGTGACGAGGGTTCGCGAATACTATGCTGATCGAGCCTGTATACGAAACATCAAGACGGATTTAATTGTGGTAAGCACATAACACATATCCCTGGATATTTCAGTTATGTTAATGTTGTTATATTTCCTCATTACAAAATTTTATTGTTCACTTATAGCGCTGTGGAAACCCAGACGGATCAGTAGCCAGATGAAACAATACAATGCAGACATGAGCCATTGCCAGTATATGTTCAGCAAGGGGAAGAAACGGCAATGGAGCCATATAAAGATTCTTAAAGATTCTCCTAGGCAGTACGAATACATCCTGCAACTTATAATGAAGGTATGTATAACATTTTATGCTTTCCTGAATCCTAGTGAGAAAAAAAGTGACTTTTAGTTTTCACTTTTCATTATGAAATTCCATATTCTTCATATCACATTTTCAAACAAATATTTTGATCGTTCTGTAGGCATGTTGATTGACGTGTTTTAAGAGCACTTAAGGCTTTTTGGAAAGCCAAATTTTGATTTGCATGGACATTAACAAAATCAAAATGTGGCTTGAAAAAAGCCATTTTAGTGTTTTTAAAACACATTGGTCAGCGGCATTTAAACAGGAATAAAACTAATTATAAGTCTTCTTTAGATATGTGGAATGGTGTTGCAAGTGATTACCGAAGGCAAATCGCTCCTAACATAACCCCTGTCCCTCCTCCTTCAGTCAAAGAACTTGTTGAAACCCATCAGTATAAATTCAACTGATCACTCAGGGCCCGCGGAGCGTATTAGAGAGTGGGGGTCTAAATCATCAATAAAACCCCCAATTAATTAATTTAGAAAGTTTCATTTAGATTTCTATTTTAATAATTTTGGCTGTCAAAAAAAGTGGGGGGGCTAAAGCCCCCCAGCCCCCCCGTCTCCGCGGTCCCTGTCACTGTAGACAGGGACGCCGGAACTGGGGGGCAGGGGGGGCGGCTGCCCCCCTTGCCGTTTGCTAGGGGGGCAGGGGGGGGCAGAAGTGCCCTTTTAGTTTTAAAATACTACGTGATAAATCACATTTCCAACGATGCTTTTTGTACGAAAATCATGAGATTCAGGCAATTTATAGTTTATATTTGAATTTTGTTAAGGCCGGAAAAAATTTTTGAAGGTCGCCCAAAATTTTCCATTGAAAAAAAGTTTTCCAGTAGATTTTGAAGTTTTGCTCTATAGAGGTGCCCTTGGTGTGCGTCCGCCCCCCCTTTGCCTTATTATCGTTCCGGCGTCCCTGACTGTAGACAAGTGTCTGCCAGTTAAAACAAAGTGCTCTGTTAGGTGGAGCTCATAATCCCTGAAAGGCAATCCACCTAGGAGAAGGAAATCTGATTACAAACCCCTGGACCCCAATACTGAGCCAGGGTGTCCATATTGGATTCATTGATCTTCGGTGCACAGCAATAGACTTTTCAGGACTGAAGTAAGGAGCAAGGAGTAATTTTAAAGAATAAAAAAATAAATGTCAATATACAAAATGTTGTGCTTGAACATCCAATGTATTTGATAACTGGTCTTTTATATAATGAAATATTACTGTTCATAAACATTTAACCATTAACATGATAAAGGCTTTCATTTGTTAGCAAAATTTGCTGTGGTTAGTAGACAGAGAAAGCTTATAATAAGTTTGAAGCAATTTTGAACTGCAATTTTCTTCTTTTGGTGTATGTGTTAAAGTGAATAATCAAGCCATGCAAAGTAATGTTTCCTGTAATTTTGCTAAAACACAAATGCCAAAAGGAGAAAATCAAAGTTTAAAATCGCTTGTGTGAACGGGCCTTAACAGGTGTGAATTACCCAAGTTCTTTCAAAATATTTAAAATGATCCTCCCTGTCATGGGGAGATAATTGCAGTAAAATGGATTAATGAATAATAAAGTTTCCCTCAATGATCCCTCTAATGCATGGCCATGTCCAGATCGAACATTTCCATCAAGTACTAACTGTGCCACTGTGGGAAGAGAGGGCTAGGCGGTTATGCAAGGCTGTCTTGATTGTGTACAGCATTTGTTTACCCATTTTGTTTACCCATTTTGTTGGCATTGCAACACAGCATCCACATTTGTAATACTCTGAGGCATTTTCTGGTTTTTCGTAGCTGGGTCTGGTTGAAGCGGTTCACCTGGCAATTTACCAAATTGACAAATGCAGCTGGCTGATGCTGTATAAGCTCTAACGCAAATGCTCTTCAAAGGGCATTTAAATCCATTGCTTCCACAAGATTCTGAAATGAATATATTTATCATTAATTAAATGCAAAGACTCAAGCACAGTGAAACACAGATATTTCTTACCACCAAATTACTGCATTTTCACAGCTATGTACACTTGTATATAGACAGGTAAGCCTTTTTACATAATTTGATATTTTACCCGGCAAGGATATGCATAATTATGTGGGGTATTTAATAAAACAAATCATGTGTGTTAAAGCCAGTGGTTAAAGCTTTCAGAAATATAAGTCTGTGTATATTTTTGGCAGGCAAAGTATCAAAATATGTAAACAAAGTTTACCCAGCTATTGTTAGATAACCATTATCCTTTGAGTGAACTATCGCGGTGAACAACATTACATATTCTCAAATGAACCATTGCTCAGGCCACATTTTTTGCGTATAAACTAACAAAACATATATAAAGTTATAAACTAATGAACAAATACAATAAGATTACATGTGAAGCACGTTTCTAACGAACAGTACATAACTAATAGCAATAATACAAACTCACCATCTGTCCTTCGATTGTTCATACATGTATCAAAATCCTCTTCGCGGCACGCGCTTGAGCAAAAAATACCCATACTCTATCGAAGACAGAAGCTGGAGGCCCCGCTGGAGCAAGCCGCGACATGAACATATCGTTTCCAATTCTTCCAGCGAAAAGCTTTCTCCGAGTGCTTCTGCCATGACAGCAACAATGACTTTGGCAATGTGTTTTGACGAACAAATACCCCAAGGAAAAATTAGTGATTACTTTGACACTTCCAAAGTTTATTTTACAATGCCGAACATTAAATATAATCAACACAATGACTCGCACCTTTGGGTCGGCTTTGTCGGTCTCTTCTGAATGTTTCATCAACGAGGCACACAAAAAACAAATGCCGAATTGATCAACAATATATCTTCCATTCATGATCTTTCAAAATATTTAATTGCTTGTCTTTCAGAAGACAATTTTAAAAAAATTAACAACTCCACTCCTGACTCGGACTCCATTTATATAGTGCATAGCCGCTATACTTCATATTATACAATTGAAGTGGATCGAAACCAAAACAAAAAATGTAAACAAAGCCCGCACATGCGCAGAATGGACTGTAATCTAGCTTTAAAGGGTGACAAATTTGCAAGTGATAACTAATGTCATTCTTACACGCCAGCAACTTCGAAGAACAGTCTACTGTGTCTCGGAATTTTCCACACTCAGAAGTAGAAAAGGAACATTTCTACATTATTGCTTACCGTCATTCTCATCTGTCAACATATATATAAAATCTACTGTCTGTCGAAATCGTTTAGCCAGTTTACCTAACGTTGCGTGATCACAAATTGCGGCTGTAGTAGAAGTAGAACACCATTATTGTAAACACAAAAACCTCGTGCAATACTGTCTAAGACTACTATTTAATTCAATACAAAGAAAGGGAAATCAGAGAGCAACGAAACATTTCATCGTCATTTGATTGACATGTTTACACTCAGCGAGTATATTTCTTTCGGTTAGGAGTTTTCCGCGAGATTAATTCGTACATTCTATAAAACGAAACTTTATATAACAGTTTATGGTAAACAAAGCAATGAAAATTATGTCTGTAGTATGACTAATTCTGAATTTTCTAATTTCTTTGAGACATTTTATTTACAGGAGGTAAACAAAGCGAACAGAGCGAAGTTCGTATGTCACAATCAAGACTCCATGATGGCATTGCGGCGCGCACAATTCGAACACACTGGAATTGAATGACTATCCTTGAAGCCAAACTGTACAGTCAAACAATTTCATTCGAGTGTAAAACCAAAGAATAAAGATGAAAGACATATATTTACATAATCAAGCTTCATTCAATGTAGTGTAAGGTGGTTTTATTTGTTAATATCAAGAATTATGTTTACCGATAAAGTATGCTCGATTTCGACACATTTTCAAATTTTACAAAGTTTGCGCGCTTGTCATTTTTGTCAAATGGTAGATCAGAAAGATATTATTGGCGATTTGTGTTGAATAATGTTAGTAGTTTATAAAAAAGTTAAAGTCATGTGCCAGTCAAGTGCCACGATTTTGAAATAAGCTTTCGAAGTTGACATATTTTGAGACGATATCCTTTATCCGTTCAGGAGGATCAATAACTGCGCTGATTTCTATTTTATACCAAAGAATGATGATCTAAGTCATATCACCCGCGAAAATAGAAGGATAAGTCTATATTTCTGAACAAAAAATTTGAAATTTAGGTATGAATTTGATTTAAAAAATAGCGCTGAAAATATGTCGATATTTGGCCTTCTTCGGAGTATCAAGTTGGTTACCAGTCGATCGAACATCAATCGCCCCAAAAAATAATTTGAGTAAAATGACATCGATTTTAGTTGTTCCCAAGGATAGATCTTCAAAATACTAGAGTATGAGAGAAATCTATTTTTGAGCCCCATACTGACCTGGAGGTTTTTACGGAGACAGCCTCTTAAGCATCCATATGATAAACGGTTAACCTCGTTTTGCTCGGCCTGTACGGGAAAGTATTTGCCTTCGGTTTATCCGCACAGACCTCGCTCCTTCGTCGCTCGGTCTGTACGAAAACCTCAGACAAATTCTTTCCCGTACAGACAGAGCTCTCCGTTAATAACCCTTTATAATATCACTTCTGACACTTACAGAACGTGCATATAGCCTGGGTGCGAGAAAGAATATAACCTGGATTTTGGGATGAAAAACGGTTGAGAGTTTGAAAGTAATAAAAAAATAATATTGAATATAATTTTATTATAATGCTGCCAACCGTTGCAAAATTCATATTAAAGTCTTATGATCATCCTGTCAACCGTTAGTATCAACCGTGTTAACTGTGTTAAAATTGTTGTTTTCCGTTATCTCTACAGGGTGTATGAAAAAACTGAACAGATTTGAAATTGCTCTCAATTTCGCAAAACAGCCCATGGTATATCAAGTTTTTGTTATATATAAATTCCTTGAATACCATGTAGAATAATGAAAAAATAATACCGGAACTCAAATTGTGTAACCAAGGGGATGATTCTTCTCATACAAACTAAAATTGGCTTGCGCACGAAATTAAAAACT